CCCCGGTGCACATCCGACTGCATGTAAACGTATTCTCTGGTGGAATTTTTTCTTCATCTAAAGGTTTTTCACATTGTTTTTTTACCCATACCCTGCACTGTCCATCTTTCTACCCCGCCTCCATCGCAACTTCCCACCGCCCTCCATGTCCCCCCAAAGAACAGAGCGAGAGATCCGTGTGGCACTTACGCTCGAAAATATCAGAGCCAAGATATATTTGCCAGAGAGGTCAGAGGTTGTTAGGATTCTTAGGTTGAGTACTGCAAATCTGTGGAAAGGGCTGCGTGTTCACTAGCTCACTCCTTGTTTAAAAAATGTTGCTTTGAAGGTCTGGCTCTCAAAATAACTCTCTCAAATAATCAACAGATATTGGTAGTGTGCTGCTATCGACCTCCTAGTGGGAAGGCTATTGAAGCTGCATCTGCACTGAGAGAGCTTTTTGGGGGCCTCCCTAAAGGTGAAATAGTTTTAGTGGGTGCTCTAAATTGGAATTGGCTAAACCCGCCGGCCGTGGCCACAAATTTTGCAGATTAATTTAATCTGTTTCAATTAATAAATGTCCCCACAAGACCCAACCTAAAAAATCCGGGACAGTCATCTCTGCTTGACGTCCTATTGACAAATGCCCCTCACAATTTCACACTGACTGGTGTTCTGGGTAATAGACTTAGTGATCACTCCTTCATTTTTGGGGTGAGATCATCAGCCAGACCCAAAGGCCCCCCTAAATTGGTTCAGAAGCACTCTATGAGACACTTCAGCACTCAGGCATTTACTAATGATGTGCTTCACTCGGATATTGACAAGGTCTGTGATATCCCCAACCTGACTACGGCTCGGGAGACCTTCAGGTACACGTTTCTCCATATTCTTAACAAACATGCTCCGTTGGTTAGATTTAAAACTAAAGGCAACCGCCCACCATGGTTTGATCCTTTGATTACAAAGCTCATGAAAACTAGGGACAAGGCTTGGGCATGTGCTCAGAAAAGTAATTTGGTCAATGACTGGCTAGAATACAGGATTTTAAAGAATAGATGCGTCAACAAAATACGGCATGCAAAAAATGCCTACTTTTCCTCCACTCTCCTGGAATCACATGGAAATGCCAGGATTTTCTGGAAAACAATCAAATGTATAGAAAAGGCATCCAAAACAGACAATCTGCCCGCTGAGCTTAACCGAAATGGGGAATATTTTTCAGATCCCAAAAAAATAGTAGACAATTTTAACCTTCATTTTTCTGAAGCTGGTAATATTTCTGATAATGTATTGGGAGTCACCCCTGCTCATGCAAATTCCTATACCCCTGTCCAAACATTAAACGAATTTAGTTTCCAGCCAATCCACGAAAGTAATGTTCTGAAACAACTGTCCTACCTCAAAGGGTGCTCCTCTACCGGAGCAGATAGTTTTCCCGTCTGTGCTCTACTAACTGTTGGTCACCTAATATACAAACCGATAGCCCATATTTTCAACCTGTCCATCAAAGAAGCATCAGTTCCTCTAGAATGGAAACATTCCTATGTCCATCCATTTCACAAAGGGGGCCCTAAAGATGATCCAAATAACTACCGACATATCTAAATTTTGTCCCCGTTGATGAAAATTTTTGAAAAATTATTGACCTACCAAATTAGCAGTTTCCTGTCCACCAAAAATCTACTACATCTAAAACAATCTGGGTTCCGAAAAAAATACAGCACCACATCTGCTGCATTAGACTCTCTGAATCACATTTACAGTAGACTTGAAAATAAGCAGTACTGTGCCTGTCTTTTCTAGACCTGTCCAAAGCGTTTGATACAGTAGACGACAACACCCTACTTAGTAAACTAAGTTGCCTCGGTTTTTCCGAAAACGCAGTAAAATGGTTACAAAATTACCACTTTTCTCGCACCCAAACTGTATTCACAGATGGTTGGAGGTCAAACAGTGTTAAGATATCAAAAAGGGTTCCACAGGGTTCCATCCTCGGCCCCCTTTTGTTCTCTCTTTATGTCAATGACTTGGGCACTGACCTGGATCATTACAGGGTAAATATTTTTGCAGATGACACGATACTGATTACTGCTGGCCGCTCTCCGGATGACGTGATTGCTAAGCTACAGGGTGGTTTCAACAAACTACAACATCAGCTAGTTGCTCTAAAACTAGTCCTGAATAACTCCAAACTAAGGTGCTATGCTACTCACCAGGACTAAAGCAGGAAGTTTTTTTTTCCCAATTACATTCCTTAAATAATTATCAAATAGAGCAAGTCAAGATCTAAAAGTTTCTTGGGGTCATCCTGAATTCAAAACTGAATTTTGAAGATCACATTGATTATATTGGTAAAAAGACAAAAATACAAATTGGTTTTCTGTATCGACACAAGCACTGCTTCCCCCCAATGTTCCGTTTGGAATTGATGAAAGCTACCATACTGCTTCTACTTGACTACTGTGACATCGTGTATAAATCAGCCCCAAGTACTGTACTGAAGAAGCTTGATTCCATCTATCACTCGGCCTTAAGATTTACATTGAACTGCCCACATAGGACTCACCACTGTGATCTCTACATTGGGTCAAACTTAACATTTCTTAATGTTCGACGGCTTGTGCACCAGATCTTATTTATTCACGATGTACTTACAAAAAAATGCGCAGAACACCTGCTGGACCTCCTCTCTGTTTCAAAGAGCAAATTTGACCTCAGGTCTTCGCTCATTTACCAGCTTCACATTCCCTATTGCCGCACAAAAACTGGAGGAAGGGCCTTTGCTATTGATGCCCCCAGGGTCTGGAATGCTATTGCCAATAAACTGCAACTTGAATCACTACCAATGAGATCTTCTCTCAAAACTGCTCTAGAGGAGTTGTACACCGCTAGCTGCCACTGCTATTCATTGGCGTAAAATAAAATAAAATGTTTCGCTCTGGATGATGCTGCAAAGTATTTTCTGTATTTTGATTTAGCGTGCTGATCTTAAAGGTGCATTGGAAACTTTGATACTCCGACTGATGCTTCTGTTGTTATGGAGTAACTCATGCAGCCAGCTATGGCTTTAGGATTTAGTGTTACATGTTATTTATGTAGTTTATTGTCAAAATTCGGTCACAGTCCCTGTGATCACTGTTACGTTGCAATTATGGTTTTATTTTTCGGTGATTTCGAAAAGTTTTTTGGTTTGGACATGTTTGTTTTGTTGTAGTACGGAGTTAGACTTATGGCCTTAATATAAGTTTTCTTGTGGTTGTTGTTGTTGTTTGACTTGCATCCCACTGGGATTTTTTGCACACAGCGTTGGTGTACGGTGCTTTTTTCAGGAATATTTTGCTGGTTTTTTTCATGGATTTTCTGTTTGCACAGTCACATAGTCACTTTAAGATTTTTTCCTTGTTCGTGTTTTTGTTTTTTTGTTTGTTGTGGTTGCACCCGATTCAAGAGCCGAATGGCTCACAGGGCTATACCAAAATAAATCAACTGAAACTGTGTCTGGAGCAGTTGTATTGTCATATTTTTTTTACAGCCCTGCCTGCAGCCAATCCACTGCTGGATGAAGGCCTGCCCATGGATTATATGGTCGTGAGGGTTGTTTGGCCATACTTCACCAAGCTGTGCAGTGTTTGTTGGTAAAGTGGGGGGGGGGGGGGGGGGGGGGAAGAGGCGACCCAGAAACAGTTCATATATCAGACATTAGCTGTGTTTTAAAAAAAAATGTAGCCAGTGGGCTGACCACTGTGCCACTACCACACCCCCATTACTTTTACACACATACACAAACAAATATCATAAAATAAAGATTACGAACAACCTGGAAACAGACTGCACTGGAAAGTCTTGTTTGTGAGCACACATTATGGCACTTTAAGGAGTGGTGTGGTCTTGCACTCGCTCTGTCTTTGTCTTTTCAGTACTGGCATTCAATTTCCATATTCATTTTTACATAGACTGACAGAGAGGAAGGCCATGCATGGTTCAGATTCCGATTGCCACTGGGGGTTTGCATCGCAGGAACCAAACCCTAGGCACCAGGAATGTGGCGCAGTGCACAGAGATAAAGATCCCCCACATAATCCTTTAAAGACTGTTGGGGCACGTACTGTTAGCATAGACCTTAACGGACTGTTGGGGTTGTCAGTGAACATCTATGAAGGCCGGAGAAAACACACAACGGAGATGCGTGGATGGCCAGCAGTGCACACAAATACACATACAGAATCTTGCAGTGTATCCTCTATTCCTACATCTGAAACCCGATGAACACCTTGCAACTGATTGGCTCAAATGCGCGAAGCCCTGAAAAAAACTGAAAACCCACAAACTCTAATTGTCGAGAGAGGAAGCTATTCTTGAGCGCAGGCAGATTAACTGGATGACAACGGTGATTTATGAACTTAATTTTGCAGTCATCTAAGGGCAGATGATACGATAAAGAGTGGATTGTAAAGTGTTGCGTTATATCTGGCAATGGCTAAAAACCCTAGGGATGTATGTGGTTTATCAATCTTTTTCCAGGACACCTCAAATGTAATCTTCCCATTTGGCACCAAAGCTTTTGACCTTGATAGCCATGCAGGTATTTCACAATTTTTACAGAAATAATCTCAGGTTCGATTCCATTTTGGGGCATTCGGTCACCACCGGCAATGGCAAATTACGAACACGGCAGAGAATGATGGATTCCGTTGATACCCGATGACAACAGAGCTTATTATTATTTTTAAATAAAAATACATGTTTGATGGACAATGCTTTGTCGAGAGCGTGAAACCTCGGAATGTCACGTGACCTCTATTGGATGACGCCATCCCAGTTGCTCACTTGGGGAAGTGGCGGCGCTCGGATTAATCGAGATGCGGGTGAAGCCATTTCATCGCCGATGTTGCTGTTGTTGTTGCAACACTACGTAGTTGCCGGCGTCGACTTGTCATCGACAATCTCCGTAAACATTTCCCATCGTGCAATGATGGCCTGGTAGGGCTATCTGCCGTGGCAAACGATGAAAAGCTAACCTTCAAACAGGGGGCACACGAGGCGCCAGCAGGTGACTCCTCCTTGGCTGGTGTACTGGCCCAGGGCCGTCTCGAGGAAGAACACGGGGATCCCACAGCACACAAAGAAGATCACGTACGGGATGAGGAAGGCACCTGTCGGGAAATCCAAAACCGCGGCAGCATCGTCATTAGGATCATCATTAATCACGCATCCATGTTATAAGACATTCGATTTGTGCATCTGTGAGCGAGCATATCAGTCACAGCACGCGCTTGAATATTTTTTCTTGTCACAAGTCGGACACCGATGATGAGATATATACATGAGCAACAAAGTTTCGCCATGCTTAATATTATAATGGCTTAGACATTTGCTTAATATTATAATGTCTTAGACATTTGCTTAATATTATAATGGCTTAGACATTTGTAAAGTCTCTTGGAATTCCTTTTATTTATTTGAGAGACGTCAACTGTGAGACAGAAGTCAACCATGACCCCCCCCCCCCAAAAAAAAAAATCGCGGGAAATAGTTTTTCGGTAAAAAATAGAATTTCGCACGTGGGTGCTGAAAGGGCAAGATTGACGAACACCGAATTGAAACGTCACTTGTCTCATTTTTAACATTCTGTCACATCTGGTGCGACCAATAACTCTATGTACACAATGCTGACCGATTGCTGGTGTTTACAGTTTGTTTTTCGTTTGAATAAACCCCAAAATAATAATCGAAAGCCCTTTGTTAATCCGGCGCTGGTGAAGGTATCCCCATGCTGTCAGTCGTGGGGGGTTGCTTTGAACATACTTCACCACATTGGTCAGTGCGAATTTTGTGAAGAGGCATAGAGGCCAGGGTTGGTTCATATATAATGTGCTACTGAGGTTAGCCATATCCGGCAATCGAACTCACGTTGCCATGTTCATGTGCTTACCACAGAGACACTGCGCCAGGCGAAGTACTATGTTTTATGAGTAAAAAGGTTCAGAAAATCGATTGCCCTGAAGTATAACATGTTTTGTATCAATCCAAACTCAAGGCCAAGCTTCATATCTATGTTTTTTTTCCCTTCCAAATAAATGATTTTAGGATGCAGTGAATGGGAGCTGTGTTTTTTATTCGTGCAAGAGGGGTAATCGCTATAATTTCTCATAGAAAATTAAGTGTGTTTACCATCTCGATCAATGTAACTCGCCAGCGTTCTGTGCACATTTAAAGAGCTCATTCTATAACAACAACAACAACAACTGGGGCATACACCTCCACGTTCCCCCAACCAATTAAATTAAATTAAAGACCCCCTCCTTATCCAATTTCTTTCCCCTCCCACCCCTCTTCATAGCCAAGCGTCTGGGCCCCTCAAGTACCTGGGGGCCCTGGTGCAGTTGCACCGACTGTACACTCACTCGCTACGCCACTCCGGTACTTACATTGCGGACACGACACAGCCACTCCGTTCGCCACCGGCACCACGAGTGATCTCAACGCCCAACGGTGGCGCGATGGATGTTGCCGTGGCCTTATTGGCTAATACACTGTTCTTTCTTTTTTTAGTTTAGTGCGCAGGCTTTCGCGACCAACATTTATCCATTATGAAGGTTTTTGGGGTGGGGTTAGATTACGTAAATATACCACTGGTCTTGTGAAAGAAAACCACCGGATCAATGACCCAGCGTGGAAGGCGAAGCAACGGGGCAGACTTCTTAAACCTTCCCCACGCCTCTGCCTAGTGAGCGGTATAAATGGGTAGACCACAAGTTAATGGTGTAGCCGTTCACGTGGGTACCACAACCTCTTACAAGGCAACCGACCAGCTTAGAAAAGTGAGCCAGCCAGAGTACCCCCCCCCCCCCCCTGTACACGGGCACCCCACAGCTACCTCGAGTGGACGGCCTTTTGTCAGCAGTGGCGTGAATGAGAAAAATTGCAGGGCTGCACCATTATTATTATTTTTATTTTCAACATGGCTAATATGGACTGAGGTGTCAGTTAAATTTTGGTAGTGAGCAGGCAAATTTGAAAATTCTCCCTCGGATCATGAACATCTATCGGAAGAGGAATCTTCTTGACACGTTGTTGTTGTTAACATTTCTCAAGAAATTGATGTGCACCTTTTTGCAGTGTGGACAGATAGCGTTTTGTTTTGCAGTATATGCGTATTGCACTTAAAAACAAACATGACGGTTGAGTTTTAGATGTGTAGAGATCCAATTCAGCATCGATCGTGCGTTAGGTTAAAACAATTACAGCTAAATCAAATACATTTACTGGGGCATATTCATGAAACTAAATCACCCGGAATCAGCACATCATATTTCAGAAGCAAAGCAATATAACACCCCCCCCCCCAAAAAAAGGCTCTTTTATGCACATGATCGTTTTTCCAAAGATAACTCCTAAATCTTGACTTAAAGCTCTCGTGACTGCAGGAATTCATATTATTTGGGTCTTTCGGTAAAGTCACGTAGACAGCCTACTTCAGCAGTTTTTTTCTTGCCGTGGTTGTCCCACCTGATGACGATTGCTTGTGTTGCGATCGAAACGTTGTGATCTATAATTTTTCTACCTACGTGACTTTACCGAAAGAACCAAAGAGTACGGATTCCTGCAGTCACGAAAGCTTCAAATCAAGATTCACGTGTATTCAAAGAAAATAAAAAAACTGCGACGTTTCGATCGCAACACAAGCGATTGTCACCAGGAGGAGATGATCAGGAGGAAAGATGACGATCGCTTGTGTTGCGATCGAAACCTCGTAGCTTTTTATTATTATTATTATTTTCTTTCAACCTATCTACGTGACTTCACCGAAAGACCAAAAGAATAAGATGTCCCAAGGACGCGCTGCGCCCACACTCACCGCCTCCGTTCTTGTAGCACAGGTACGGGAAGCGCCACACGTTCCCCAGTCCTATGATCTCTCCGGCCACGGACAGCACAAACTCCACCTTGTTGTTCCACTGCCCGCGCTCGTTGATCTTCTGCTTGCCAGGAGCGCCGGGCGGAATGTCCATCTCCGTGCTCTCCACCTTGCCGTTCACGAGCGGGATGGAATTCTGCGCCGCCATTCTCGGTCGAGTGCTGGGTCTGCGAAGCGCAAAGATCCCCCCGCGTGGCCTCAACGGACTCGCGGGTCGTGTGCTGTTCGCGAGGAGCGGCGCATATGAAGGCCGTAACGGCACGCGAGGGGGGTGGGTGGCCAGCACCGCGCCCAATCGCCATTCGTCTCCCCCCGGTGATAATGTTTGCACACCACACCAGGTCGTTATTTAAGGCTGGCTCGACCTAGGAGAGGCCCATAATCGATTTAGACAATCACCACTCATGTCAGACATGGTCAGAAACCAATTTGGGCCGTAGGGATTCACAGAGCAGCACACTTTCCAGTCACTTAGCACGGTTGCATTTAAGCAAACCGTGTGTGTCGATGCGCGTGCCTTTGTCTTTGTGCGCGTCTGTAACATGTCCTTCACATCGCATGCTCACCTAACTCGCGATTGTGTTTCATCAAGCATCAGGCACGTAACAGCCTGCAGCATCTTCAATTTGCATTTGAGCACGGGGACATTTGGTGAACTCGACAAGGCAGGGTCACGGGGTGTGGGGGGTGGGGTGGACCTGGGAATCTAACGACCCCACTGACAACGCGGATGTCGTTCTGCGGTGCGCGTGCGACGCCCCTACAAGTTGTGGCCGCGCTCCGGGGCATCCGCGTCGCCACCGCGATGACAGACAGACGGCACGCGAGGCGACGCGCGTGCCCTAAATTGCGCCCGGGACAACGTCCACTCGTGCCGCACAGCTCCTGTAATTGAGCGGCTGCGGTGTTCGTCCCAGTCAAGCGCCATGGGTGTCTGCTATTAAAATGTTTTGAATAATTCACTGCGGTGTTGAACGCGAGCTGCCTTGAAAGCACGTGACGAAGGAATTTCTTCGCGGAATTCCAGCAGTCAGGAGCGCGTCACCCTGTGCTAGTCATCACGTAACTCGAGTACTTGCAAATGTCACCTATTCCCAACGATGATTGGTTGCTTAATCATGTATTACAAACATTTTCACCTGGAATATCCCTTGACATGGAACATCTCTATGGGACATACGGGGATGGAAGGGGGGAGGGAGCACTCAAATCTCCACACAGAAAAATTCAATAATCTCCTGCTGCACTGCCATCTCTTGGCCACCTCGTAGTCGAAGCCTACAACCTCTGCTCATTGTCAGTCTCGCTGGCACGGACCAGTCCACCGACTTGCTCGCTCCACCTCCGTCTCCTGTCCACCTCTCAACTGAGCGGGTTTGGGAATTTCACAAATCTACATGTGACCCACAAACCCTTGCCTCCGCGGCGCTACAGATACCAGTGCCTGTGTGGGCTCCTCAGCAGCTGTGTGGTGTGCACGTCACGAGTCGATGTTGGTGACGATGTTGGTGACAATGGTGGTGGTGATGGGGAGCGGTAGCGTAGCGCTACGCTGCGCTACGAACCTGACGACCCGAATTCAAATCCCGCTCTCGGCCAACATCAGTGACGATTATCTGAACCCGTCATGGGCCTCCCCTAGGTCGACTCAGCCTCAAATGAGTACCCGGTGCGGTGTAAAAACAAGGCCACTAGGGAGACAAAGGCGGCTGGTCGTGGTGCTGATCACCCAACCCCTCGTGTGCCGTTCTGGCCTCTATAGGTGCTCGCTAACAGCACTTGCCCCAAAAGTATGTTGCGGCTACACGGGGGATCTTTGTCTTTGTTTCGTGACGACGATTGATAGTCGCAATGATCGAGGTGTTGGTGACGATGGCTCCGAGTCAACCCAGACCTGCATTCTAGTCCACGACCTTGGGGAAACCGTGGCTGCCAATGTTCTAGCAGGCGAACCGTGGAAGTGTGGGCTCCGCGAGGCAGGTGCCCCCCTTCGGCGGCAAATGCAACGAGCGGCATGAATTAATCAAACACGTTTGCACCAATCGCCCGATAAGGTAAAAAAAAAACTAAATCTAAATATAAATCTGCCGTTGCATTGCCGAGTTAAAATGTAACACGTGACTTCGTCCGGGAAGGGCGAGCACACCTGTGCACTCTCCGAGATCCCCGAGTTTTGAGCAGCACAGCAGACGCGATTCGACCTCGCGTTTGCTACGAATTAATGAATTAATTCATCCGTTTGAATCGAACCCAAAAATTTAAACTCGAAGCAACACGCATCCGACTGCGATGTCAACCACCGCGAGCAGGTGAGCGCGTCGGGTTTGAATGGCAGGAAAGTGTCGTCCTTCTAGCCACACCGTCGTCGCGAGTGGAGTCGCTTTGAAAGACGGAAAGAAGGGAGCGCGTGGATTAACGGACATACGCATGCTGATGAGAAACAATTCCACCTTCCAATAAGAGTAAAGTGGACGTGGCTGCTGAGGCAGGGCACGTCGCTGCGAGGGGGGTGGGGGGGGGGGGCGATTACGGCCGATGGTCAAGAAGAACGGTGAGAGCCGAGGAATAAAACTAAACAATAAACTAAACTATTTTTTTTTTATTTTACCAGGTAGGACCTGCCGAGCTATATAGCTCTTTTTCAGAAGCGACCTGGCCACAAACGATAGTTCAACGAAGTGGCTTATCATGTGGAAATTTATATCAGCCAAATACTCCAAAGACGTGTTCCAAATTCCAAATATACAGCAGGCGTCAGGGTCGGGACCGAACTCACGACCTCCTGCATACCAGGCGAAGTAATTAACATTTCTCCACCGTGGTGCCATAGGAATCGTTCAAGAGACATCCCCCAAAGGAGATGGAGCGATGAAATCCGTTTGTGTGCCAGTGCCTGGTGGATTATTATATCGCAGGATTGTAAGAGATGGAAGCCTTTATCCAGCAGTAGATTGACCATGGCTGACGACGATGAGGACTCGTTAATGGAATAGGTCGATCATTTTAATGGGGCGCCACAGAGGTGAGATGTTAACTACCTCGCCTGGTATGCAGGAGGTCGTGGGTTCGATCCCGAATCTAATGCCTGCTGCTGTATATTTTGAGTTTGCACGTCTCTCCCCGTGGTCGTGTGGATTTTTCTCTGGGTCCTCCGGTTTCTCCCTCCACGTTTAGAAACACGCGTTTAGAGTATTTGGCTGCTGTAAATTTCCACATGATAACCCACTTCGCTGAGTTATCATTTGTGGCTAGGTCGCTTCTGAAAAATAGCTATATAGCTCAGCGGCCCTTATCTGGTAAAAAAAACAAACAAACACAAAGAGTAAAAAGTAGTATAAATAATGGCATTGGCCAAACACTATTATGCAGGATCCTTCTGAAAATTTGTCTTGAAGCTCAGTGAGGCTTTCACAGACTAATAAATAGGAATGCCATTGCTATGATCGTTGCACTGCAGGTCGAAAATGAGGTTTCGTTATATAATGTGCCAGAGGTTGCTTTAACATGGATTTGAATGCAAATTCAACCTATGACACTTTCTTTTATTTACAAAACTCAAAACACCCGCATTGTCGTCGTTATGGAAAGACTATGAATAACAGAACAGACACGCAAACAATGCATCTCCTTTAGATATCTGTCCCTCCTCGTAGAAAAACGACAAAAGTAATGCTTAACGAAACCCATCGGCTGCACGCTCGACTGGGAGTGCACAACCAATTTTGGCAAACATTGATCTGAATGCGAGCAAACTCGGCAGTGTCTCACCGGCAGAGCCATGCCCCGTTTTGAACGAATTCCGATGAACCATCAGGTGCTACAGGCACCCCCCCCCCCCGCCTCCTCTTTATGACACGGGCCCCAGTTCGACACAACGTTGATATCATGCGTAACACTGAAAATAATCGACGCTCAAGGGTTAGTTTTGAGTGATGTATTATAGAATGGCATTTGAAACGGGTGTCTCTTCCTTTGGGCACAGTACTGCGTTATCAACGGCGTTACACGGTACTTTGGAAGCACGTAAGCGGTAATTGATATTAATGAGACGTGATAGATATCTACGATGAATAATTATTGTGGTCGGGTCGTTTGCGCGAATCGAAAACACACGAAGGTTAATTAAATATGGCCATGCAATTTTCACTCGTGGACAAACTCCCCCGGCCGCGCACACCCTGAGGGGCATGGAAATGTATTTGACCATACATCACTGCACTGTTCGCATGTTTGTTAGACTTCTTTCTCAGCGTATGTAGCCCAACGCGCCCAATCGCAGGTGCTGGGTAAGGACGGAAAACTAAACACAAAAAGCAGTTCTAAAGAAATTAGTTTTCAATTTAGATTTAAAAAGTGAATAGCTCCCAGTGGCTTCCCAATATCGGAAGGAAGAGCGTTCCAGACGGCCACAGGAGCGCATCTGAAAGCGCGCGATGCGGTGACCATATTTGTTCGATGGTCAGCCAAAAGCCGCTGCACGAGGATGACCGCAGGTTGCGTGATGGTTTTGCTCCCCGACGAGATCAGAAGGGTATTGTGGTACATTTGCGACGAGCACATTGCGTGCGATCAGTGCGACCTCATCACGAAACCAATGCAGCTCAGCGACCACTGGACGGACACGGTCGGATCTCGCAGTACCCCGTTACCACGCGTGCCAAGGAATGTGTACACGCCGCAGCTTGCTCATGCTTCAGCTAGACGTTGCCTGGAGTAGCGAGTTGCAGTAAGCGAGCCTCGTCGATGCCACGCTGCACGCCGCCCTGTTGGCTAGGCCACGACTCAATCGTGGCCCAATGAGTCGTAGGGCCCCGATAAGAACATTTGCGGGACCTGACTCTGTTTTGCACGTGGCGATAAAACGACATTCGGATCGAGGGTGGAGCCGAGGCTCTTTAGATTTGTAGAAAAAACTGAATCCTGCAGTCTGCCACTCTCACACCACGCTGATCAGCACGGGTTGATTAAACAGAGGTCACCAATTACAATCACTAACCAGGCTCAAATCTCCTGCAGTCCGAGGAGACCCGGTGCATTTCGGATAATTTAGTAACAGGAGAGTGGTTTTATATGAACACGACACAATGTATGAAATAAGATACAAATGTCAGTTTTCCCGCTGACAAATACTGCTCGGTCTGTAGTGGGTCGCTGATGATCCCTTATT